CAAATCATACACGGCATCACCCTTCGTGCTTTAACACTCTCTCACCAAAACAATACACGGCATTGCCCTGCGTACTTTAACACTCCTCCTCACCCAAACAACAATCACAATTAATGGGGCAAGGGAATAAATGAAATTACAATAAGAATCCCGGCAAGGGAAGAATAGTTCAACAATCAAGTCCCGGCAAGGGAATAACATCAAAAGAAGCATCAACATCCCAGCTAGGGAGATAATATCAAAAGCAACAATATCCCGACAAGAGAGGCCACGTAATAATTCTCTTCTTTTTCTCACTTTTACTTCACAACTCACTTCACAACTTGAGCCAATGCTCTAAAAGGTTCAATTTTCACTTATACTTTCACATTTCATTGTACAACTTGAGCCAACGCTCCTTAATGTTCAGATGTCACAATTACTTCCACAAACTTTGCCCAACAATAGAAATCATCATCAAAACATGAATAATACAACGAAGCCATAATAATCACAATATAAGACTCACGTACATGCTTGACACCAATGTATAGATACTCGTCACTATGCCTATACGTCGTACTCGACAAATACCACATAGCAAATAGGACTGGACTCCTAATCCCTCAAGCTAAGGTTAGACCAAACACTTACCTCGATGCCACAAACACAATTCAAGTCTCTACTATCGCTTTACCTATTGATTCCACCAACAATTCGCTTGTATCTAGCCACAAGTTACTTAATTACATCAATAAATGCTAAATGAATAAATTCCAACGCATGAAAATAAGTTTTCCAAAGTTTTACCCAAAAAGTCAAAAATCGCCCCCGGGCCCACTTGGTCAAAACTCGAGGTTCGAACCAAAACCCGATCACCCATTCCCCCCAAACCCAAATATATAATTTATTTTGAAATCGGACCTCAAATCGAGGTCCAAATCCTAAATTTTTGAAAAACCTAGGTTCTACCCAAAACACCCAATTTCTCCCATAAAAATTATTGATTTTGAGTTGAAATCATGTGAAAAGATGTTAATGATTGAAGTAAACGAGTTGAAATTGACTTACAATCGATTTGGAGGAAGAGTTGTCTTTGAAAAATCGCCCAAGAGTGTTTTGGTTTTGAAAGAGTGTGAAAAATGAAAGATTTTCGGCTAAGTCATAAAATTGCAGGTTGCAGATGTTGCATTTGCGAACCCAAACTTCTGCTAAGTTCGCATTTGTGAAGAAGTTCTTGCATTTGCGAGTTGGGAATTGCGAACAACTTGTCACATTTGCGACCACTAGCTAAAACTGGGGGGGGGGGGGGGGGGGGATTGCATTTGCGATAGAATCCTCGAAATTGCGAGGTAGGCTGGCCTGGGCTATATTTCACATTTGCGACATGGCCCTCGCATTTGCGAACTTGCATTTGCCTGCCAGGCTTCACAAATGCAAAGCCTGCAGGCCTACACTGAAACAGCTGAAAACCTGCAATTCTCCAAGTCCAAAATTCACCGTGTAGCCTATCCAAAACTCACCCGAACCCTCGTAGCTCCAAACTAAATATGCACACCAACCTAAAAATATCATACGGACTCGCTCATGCATTCAAATCACTAAAATAACATCAACAACTATGAATTTAGCATCAAAATCATGAAATTTCTTAAGAACTTCATTTTTCAATTTTTTTCAAAAATAATCCGATTCACGTCATTTCAAGTCCGTTTCTTACCAAATTTCACAAACAAAATCACATGTACGACCTGTGCCGGGCGCCGGAACCAAAATACGGGCCCGATACCATCAAATTTCAAACACCTTTCATTTCCAAAACTCGTAAACAATTCCAGAAAATAATTTTCCTTAAAAATTTATTTCTCGGGCTTGGGGACCTCGGAATTCGATTCCGAGAATTCTCCCAAGTCGCATATTTTCCTACGGACCCTTCAGGATCGTCAAATTTCGGGTCCGGGTCCGTTTACCCAAAATATTGACCAAAGTCAACTTAAATCCATTTTAAAGTCAAAATTCATCATTTTTCACAAATTTTCACAAAATGGCTTTCCGGTTATGCGCCCGGATTGTGCACGCAAATTGAGGTAATGCCGAAGGAGGTTTTTAACGCCTCAGAATGGAGAATTTACTTTTAAAACAAGTGGTGACCTACCCACATCGACATCAACACAATCAGTAATCATCCCACCAACATAATCCTCCACTAAAAAGGAATGTAACTTATCCATGGAGATTTTTCCACCACGGAAAAACCTTACTATAACAAGTACAAAAGACATTGAAATACCTGAATATAGTAGAAAATAAACTAATTAAGGATTAATAGTTACTATTAGACCCCGACATAAGAAGTCACAATACATGCAACAAGAAAAAACTGAAAATTGGTTATTGTTACACCTTAAAAATTGTATTTCTGTTACTCGATTTTACATTGAAAACGTTACAGTGAAGAAATTTGAAACAAGTTCAAAACCCTAGATACGGATGATATTAAACAAACTAAAACAGAGATAACATTTAGGGTTGGTGATAGAAAAGGCTAGGGTTGGTGATAGAAAAGGCTAGGGTTGATGTATTTACCTCCAAACTAAAACAAAGATAACGTTTGAACTTGATTCTTCGATGACCTTCAACTTCGAACGGGTCTTCCACTATCTCGTCAATGATACAATTGAGAACAAACAGAACCCTAAGGAACAACAAAATCAAAGGATATTGCAACAGGTCCCTTCGATTTTGGTGAAACAAATCGATTTTGTTAGGCAAATCGAATCTTTAAAGGTGGGGCATTAGGGTTCTTCAATTTGGGAATTTTTTACAAACGGGGTGAATGAGTGTCTTTGGAGGTTGTGTTATGTTTATTTACTGAACAATTTAATTACGTGACTTCATAATAAAAGCGCGTGTTTCCCACTCAAGTTATTATAGTTGGGCTAGGGCTTAGGAGGGAGTAAATAAATATAATTTTTTAAACAATAGTGGGGTATTATGACACCCATAAAATTTAGGTGTGTAAATAATTTTTCAGAATAAATTGAATGGGTCTTTATGCATTTTCTCAAAGGTTAAAGGAAAAAATAGTGCATATGTACGTACACAAGAAAAGGGTACATTGAGAACAGAATATACAACTTTTGTGCGAGAAACAACCATTTTAAACTACTTTGACCCATTTTTTTTTTTGGTAAATAGGATATTTTATTCATTACTAAGTAGTGCCAATACATAAATTGGAAGTTTCATCGGGATCATTATTCCTAAAACTGGAATAGTTATTTGCAATATAATGCGACATATTGCAGAAATGCAGGGTAAGACTGCGTACGTTTGACCCTTATGGTCTGGTCCTTCTCCGAACTCTATGCATAGCGGGAACTAAGTGCATCAAACTGCCTTTTAATCCGACATAGTAGTGCTTTTTTGAGCATATAGGTTTTCAAAGCTCAGCAAATTGTTACAAACATCTTCTAATACCTTTTTTCGCCAAAATATGTGCGACTGTATTTTCTTTCCTAAAGATATGTCGGACCTTCTTTCTGCATTAGAAGAGGTCTAGTTTAGGGCAACACTCTATTTTTCTATATAATTGATAGTTTTAGGCAATATATATGAATTTAGCTTGGATTGAATCCGCATCCGCCATCTTTGTAGGTCTTCTATAAGAGCGGACCTTTTTTCCAGTCCTATTCTTTTCTCTTACGTTCCTTTTGGAATATCTCATGTTGGGACATCTGCACCTCTTTCTATTTCGAGACGATCACGCTAGATTCTGTAGCTCTTGCTTTAATAACCTGCCGTCATATAAAATAGAGTTATAAGCAAGAGAAATATTATAAAGGAAAAAAAATGACTATAGGAGAACGTGCGATATGTAAAATTTGAACTCTTAAGGAAAATGTAGGTGACGAAGATACTTGTTCGCAACTGATATTTATATTTATATCAAATCAAATATAATGACTACATGTCACTTAACCATAATTAAGTAAAAAAGTTATATGTAAAATACATGTATATACAAACAACGAAGATCATAATGGAGCTGCCTAATGTTAGGTACAACACTTCATTGTAGGGAAGATCATATCATACATAAAGTTGACTCTAATGACTAGTTAGTTTAATGAAATGTCTTTCACTTTACCTAACATAAATATTTAGTAAAAAACTGATGTTGTGGATTTTTTCAGTATTTAATAGGAGGATCATATTACTTCTTGAATTTGTTAGAAAATATATATTAATAAGAATAAAATTGGTCTCACATAACTTTCCTAGAGTATAATATAGTCTATCATTTTCTATTTTTCAAATACAGTTTTAACAATATTTGATTAAGTGCATGATCTGTGCCTTTTTAAATATATAATTTATCACTTAACATAGTTAATCAATATGTATTATTTTCTTAATTAATTATTTGACATGATATATTAACATTATTTGGTGTATTTATTAAATCTGGATAAGTAGCATTTTTTTTTCAAATCACACGACATTTGGAGGGTCAAACAAGTTTTTTTTTCAATTTCAATTCCTCTTATTTTCAATTGTACAATATTAAGAGCCTGTTTGGCCATGAAAATCTCACTTTTTTTTCAAAATTAATGTTAAATTTTTAATTTTCACTTCAAGATGAATTTTAAATTTTGTTGAAAATTTGAAAAACTCCATAAAGCTATTTTCAAGATTTTCATTCAGATCACTCACACAAATTCAAAAACAACCCAAAATTATATTCATGTCTAAACACAACTCTAATTTTCAAATATCATTTTTAGTTGAAAATTTTCCCCATTTTCTTTGAAATTTTACAATTCTTATGTCCAAATGCCCACTAAGCTTTATTGTTTGTAAATATGTACTAGATGTTATTAAAAAACCAACCTTCAAATTTACACTGAAATTTTAGATGTGTTGACTGATGAATTGTCTAAACAGTTGACTTTTAACTTCTTTTTCTCTATAATCTCCATTTATCCTAACAAAAAGAGCGTACATCCTTTTTTCCTTATTTCAAATTCTCAAGTACAAAGATTGAATAACGACAAGAACCATAAAAAAAATCATCTTTGAAACGTGCAGTTGCCAAAAATAATAACTTTTGTACACTGAAAAAAGATTGAAACTTTGTAATTGTTTTTTACAAGAAACACATTTTCTTGAAATGGGGGTTTGAGTTTTGACTATTTGAATCATCTTCTTCAAATTTTTCTTTTACTTCACTTAAAATTCTGCAGAAAATAGACTCACTCTTGTAGCCATGTCTACCTGTAATTTTCTTGGTAGTTACCAGCTTTACACTTGTTGTAATGTTAAAAAACCACACATTGGTTCCTTTAAAAAGAGTTCTTTTTCTCAATCTTGGTCAAAAAGGCCAAATGAGTCATCTTATTTTCACAAGAATTCTCAATTTGGAAGAAGCAATTTTGTTATAGTGAAGGCTTCAGATTCAAGAACTACCAGAAAACAAGTAGAGGTAACCCTATTTTGTTGTGCATAAATTGAATTTGAGTTTAGTTTTTGTTGGAAATGGAGCTGTAATTGTATAAAAAAAATTGCTTTTTGTGGTTTTTTTGGAGCTGTAATTATGTAAAAAATTTTGAGCTTTGTGTGAATTTTGTTGTGGGGGTGCTTAGATAACATTTGAATTTTGTGCATATTTTGGATTTGAGTTTTTTTTTTGTTGTTAGAATGGAGCTGTAATTGTATAAAGTATTTGGCTTTTGTAGTTTGAATTATACTTTCTTGTTTCTTTCTTCTTTGAGCTGTAATTATGTAAAAAGTTTTGAGCTTTGGATTCATGAATTAGCAGAAAACAAGTAGAGGTAACCCTATTGTTGTGCAAAGTTTGAATTTGCGTTTACTTTTTTGTTAGAAATTTGGAGTGGAGCTGTAATTGTATAAATTTTTTGGCTCTTGTAGTTTGAATTTGATTTTCTTGTTTTTTGGGGGGGGTTCTTTTTTAAGCTGTTATTATGTAAAAGTATTGAAGCTTTTTGTGAATTATGTAAAAAGTTTTGAGCTTTGTATGGATTAAATAAAAAAATTTGAGCTTTGTATGAATTATGTAAAAAGTTTTGAGCTTTGGATTCAAGAACTACCAGAAAACAAGTAGAAGTAAGTGGTACCCTTTTGGGCATGGTTTCGATTTTTCTTTATTTTTTGTTGGAATGGAGCTATAATTCTGTAGAAAGTTTTGAGCTTTGTGTGAATTTCGTTGTGGGGTGCTTAGGTAACATGTGATCTGAGTTTGACTTTATTCGTTGGAATGGAGCTTTAATTGTACAAAAAAATTTGGGGTTTTTGTGAATTTTGTTCAATAGCTAGGTTTGATTTTGATTTTCTTGCTTTTTTTAGGTGTAATTGCTTAGAAAGTTCCAAGCTTTGTGTGAATTTTGTTATGGAGGTGCTTCAATAACATATGATCCTGAGTTTGGCATTTTTTGTTGGAATGGAGCTGTAATTGTATAAAAAATTTGGGGCTTTTATGAATTTTGTCCTATAGCTAGGTTTGAATTTGTTTTTTCTTGCTTCTTTTAGGTGTAATTGTGTAAAAAGTTTTGAGCTTTGTGTGAATCTTGTTGTCGGGTGCTTAGATAACATATGATCCCAAGGTTGACTTTATTTCTTGGAATGGAGCTGTAATTGTATAAATTTTTTTGCGCTTTTTGTGAATTTTGTTCTATAGCTAGGTTTGAATTTGATTTTCTTGCCTTTTGTAGGTGTAACTTTGTAAAAGGTTTTGAGCTTTGTTTGAATCTTGTTATGGGATGCTTAGATAACATATATGATCCTAAGTTTGAGTTTATTTGTTGGAATGGAGCTGTAATTGTATGAATTTTTTGGCTTTTGTAGTTTATATTTGATTTTCTTGTGTTTTCTTTCTTTTTTGAGCTGTAATGGTGGAAAAAGTTTTGAGCTTTGTGTAAATTTTGTTGTGGGGGTGCTTAGATAACATATAATCCTGAAGAGAAGTTTAATAAGTTAGCCGATGAAGTAGATAGAGAGGCTGGGCTTTCAAGACTTACTCTTTTTTCACCTTGCAAGGTAATGTGTATCAAGTTAAATTCTTTGAGTATCAAATTTCCTTTGTGGATTTTATCCTTATTCTTTCTTTTCCCTTGACAAATTTGCCGTCTTTTTGTGTCGCAGATAAATGTTTTCTTGAGAATAACGGGCAAGAGGGATGACGGCTATCATGATTTGGCATCTCTCTTTCATGTAAGTTTTCTGCTTCAGATTTTTGTCTTGAGAGAACTCAGAATATTATAAAGCTTGAAAGAATTCAATTGGGATTATGCCATATTACTATATTTCAAGTTCCTGTTACTATGGTATTTACTAATGAAGTATTAGGTATATATATAGCTTATGAAATCCCTTTTGTTCCTTCAGGTAATCAGTCTAGGAGATAAAATAAAATTCTCGCTGTCACCATCGAAATCAAAGGATCGTTTATCTACTAATGTTGCTGGAGTTCCACTCGACGAGAGAAATTTGGTAAAGCAAGAAGCTAATATAGTTATCCTTGTGCTCATCAATTACAATTATGTGATTGGCAGAATCATGATTCCTTTTGCAGATTATAAAGGCCCTCAATCTTTATAGGAAAAAAACTGGAACAGACAATTACTTTTGGGTAAAATCCTTATGTTTCTAACAAATCCATCAGTTTGTGAATAGCTTTTGGTATATTGCAACTGATTCAACTTTATGACCTATTTCGATGGCCAGATTCATCTTGATAAGAAGGTGCCTACTGGGGCTGGTCTTGGTGGTGGGAGCAGTAATGCTGCAACAGCTCTGTGGGCAGCAAACCAATTTAGCGGCTCTCTTGCCACTGAAAAGGAGCTCCAAGAATGGTCTGGTGAGATCGGTTCTGATATTTCTTTCTTTTTCTCCCATGGAGCTGCCTACTGTACGGGTAGGGGTGAGGTATGCTTTTGCCATTGTACTTACTTCCAAATGTCATATACCTTTCAATTCTAGTCAGTTTTTGATTGGGTGGAAAGCTGTAACCACATCCCAAAAAGAATTTAAGCAAAAGAAAACTGTTTGGGCAGAGTGCTGTTGTTCAACTATGGCGATGATAGAGAAAGGGGTAAATGAGGTCATCTGACTTTAAGGTCGGCATGATATGAACTAGGACTAGTTGTTATGCTTTAAATCCTTTAGCGAAACTTCAAATTCATTACCGCTGACAAAGAAATTTTTTGAGAAGTGATTAGCTACTTGGGTTGCATTCACAGAAGTCCTGTTACTTGTGATTTGAGCTAACTGTATTAATATCAGCTTGGGAAGGGAAGCCTTGGAGCAACGGTTGCCTTCGTGTGACCTATAGGTCACGGGTTCGAGCCGTGGAATCAGCCACTGATGCTTGCATTAGGGTAGGCTGACTACATCACACCCCCTTGGGATGCGGCCCTTCCCCGAACCCTGCTTGAACACGGGATGCTTCGTGCACCGGGTTGCCCTTGTATTAATATCAGCTTAGCACCTTGTTGCACTCCTTCCTTTCACATGAGAAGTGTAATTTCTACTGATTTCCAAATGGAACCGTAATTCAGGGAGTTGATATAATGCATGGAAACCTTAGGCAGATCCCTTATTTTGCAATTAGCAAGAGATCTTGGACCCTTTTGCCGACTCCATCCTTTCACCACGAAGTATAATTTCGAATTAGTAGGCGTGTTTATTATGTTATATTGAGAGGTACAAGCGTAGTTTATTCAGACAAGTAGGGTCAAATGACTTATGGTTTTCGGGAGAAAAAGAAAAGTAAAATGAAAGTGTGATGCAAAAAGGAGCTGATATCACATAATTACTGTTAATGAGTAGTGCAATAGTCACTTAATAGGTTGGATCTTTGACCATTAATGGCATGAGATTCCACATAGACCAATAAACTCAAATTGGACGGAAAATTGAAATCTTGCAAAATGATGGTGAGGAAAGAATTCTTGGATTTTTTTGGAACCGGCTTTCTGTCTTTAGCTATCTAGTCAGGACCTCCCAAAGTTATGTTTGGTTATATAATAATTAAAAAAAAGAGGTGCATGTGAGCTGCAGTAGTGATCTGCATGAGAAATGGTTTGGGAATTGCTAGAAAGTTATTAGTTGAACTTGTCTCTCATAATTCAAATTATTGAAATGTGCATTTGTTTGTTCAGATTGTTCAAGATATCCCATCGCCCATACCATTTGACATTCCAATGGTTCTAATAAAGCCTCAACAAGAATGCTCTACTGCTGAAGTTTACAAGGTGATACAAAATGAAGTTAGCGAACAAGTTTAGGATGAAATTATATGATTTTGGTTATCAAAATCTAAGAGAAGATTTGGTTTTGCAGCGTTTTCAATTGGATCAGACTAGTAAGGTTGATCCCTTGAGCTTGCTGGAGAAGATCAAAACTAGTGGAATATCTCAAGATGTGTGTGTCAATGATCTAGGTATGGAATGAAGTTAGACACCTTAACATTTGTTCAGACTTCACCTTATCGAAATATGCATGTATATACATATACATACAGACATGCTTATCTTTTTGAAAAAAAAGCAATTATTTTTAATCTAAGGTCATTGAGTCTGTATGTATGACGTGGGAATTATTATTGGTCGAATGTAGTATTTAAATATGCATCCAGTCGGAAACTAGCAGAGTGGATCTTGCACTTTGTAAATTCTTTTGGGGTCAGAATTATACTCATTTGACATTGACATTTCATGCAGAACCTCCTGCTTTTGAAGTTCTTCCATCTCTTAAAAGGTTAAAACAGCGAGTGATCGCTGCCGGCCGAGGACAGTATGATGCAGTCTTCATGTCTGGAAGGTATTCTTTTGCCTTAATCTGGTTCATGTTTGTACTATCTCTTTTCTATATTTGTGTTAGTTCTCATCCTTTTAGCTTGCGCATAAGGGTTTTCAAGCAGATGGGTGTGTCAATATGAATTAGGCATGTTAGACAATAGGAGAAACCGAAATTAAGAGTGTTATGCCACTGTTTGGAGTTAGATCTCACATTAGAAGAGGCAAAATATGTAAAACCTTTTTCAATTAATGTATTATGCGAAGTGATCTTCTTTTAACTTGATTACAAATGCCTTATGTATAAATTTAATTTTGTAAATTGCACACACCCCTCGTGGACCGATTTAATCCTTTTGTTACCAACCACTTTGGAGGAAGGTATGAAATGCCTAAGGGAAAATTGGACAATGGCATTATATGAGGTAGCTTTCTCACATGTTCCTGCAAGACTCGTGGCTGATGAGAATACTTTTGGGCTTTTTTCATTTTTGGCCGTCGGCCGATTACGGGTGCTAGCCCAAATATAAGGGAGAAATTAAAAAATAGCCAGATCTATAAGTGGTCATTCAAAAATAGTCACAGTTTCAAAAGTAATCGAAATTTAGCCACTTTTCATGTAAAATAAATCTGAACGAAAACACTATTCAAAATCCGGAAAAATACTCCAGTATAATATATCGGTCCAGCATAATATACTGGAGATTGGAGCACCAGTGCGTGTTGGAGTTCCAGCATAATATGCTGGAAGTTCATACACAAGTGCACCGATCTCCAGTATATTATGCTGGAACTTTCCGTGTTGCAGCAAAATAGTGGCTATTTTTCAATGACTTTGCAAACGCTGGCTATTTTTGAATGACCAGTCCGAAAACTGGCTAACCCGTGCTATTTTTACCAAATATACAGTGAATATTATGTATATTTATGTATATTATATGTATATTTATACTTAATATGTGTCGGATATTATTTTTACGGCAGCCCAAAAATGTAATTATATCTCATTTGCTGTCTCTGGGAGGATAGATACTTAAATGACATCTTATTCGTACACTTTGGTCTTGATTTGAGTCTGTTACTGATTCCAAAACCTGAGACTGTTACTAATTCCAAAACTGAAATGCAGTGGAAGCACAATAGTAGGGGTTGGCTCTCCGGATCCTCCACAATTTGTTTACGACGATGAAGAATACAGGGATGTCTTCTTGTCAGGTAAACGTCGAACAGTCACTTCTACGTGATAATTCAATCTGCATCTAGTTAGTCTGCATTATGTTATTCTAACTCTCCATAAATCTTACCGTTCTTGCTATGATCGACCACAATATTTGATTGTGAAGAAGCAACTAAAGATTCTTGCTTTTGGATTGTTAGAATATTTACTCTAGACATTTAGAAATGATGTGTTTTATCAGAACTTTATAGCCCGCGATAGTAATCCATTGTTTGCTGCATAACTGAACATCTGCTCTCTTTTGAGATATACGTCGTTATGAATTGCAGAAGCTAGTTTCATCACTCGGGCAGCCAATCAGTGGTATGAGGAACCAGTTTCAGCTAGCAATTATGGTGATCAAGCCGCGTTCTCCGGATCTTTTGATAATTCTTAGGCTCAGGGCCAATAAATTGAAGCAATTAGGATTAGTATGTAGTTGTATATGTTGGGAAAAATAAGGCACAAAAACAATATGCACGACAAGGTAGCAGCGGAATAATACCCAAGTCTAATTTCCGAAATCTATTTGAACCAAGAGAAAGACATACACTACAATGAATTCAAGCACAAATGGACTAATTAATCTATCATTGTAAGGAGAAAAGTTGCTGCCACGTGACCAGGAGGTCACGGGTTCGAGCCGTGGAAACAGCCTCTTGCAGGAATGCAGGGTAAGACTGCGTACGATAGACCCTTGTGGTCCGGCCCTTCCCCGTACTCCGCGTATAGCGGGAGCTTAGTGCATCGTGCTGCCATTTTTTTGTTTTAAGGAAAAAAGATTTCAGATTCATTGTTGCATGATTGCAATCAATTGAGTGATGTTTTCATCTTCACACACTACATGAGATATTCTCAAGTTAGAGAAAGGAAGATTAGTCCTTTCCAGTGTGAAACCAGGGAATGAAGGTGAGTGTATTATTACAATGAGCTCAATGTTTAATCTTTAGGTTTCCATCAACCCATTACTTTTTTGAAAATATAGGTTCAATTTTTTAATTTTTTTTTTAGTGATTTTTGACATATATATCTATACTTAAAGCCGAAAATATTGGATCAGTTGAACCCATTCACTATATGCTACATCCTCCACGGCTGCTAATTTAATATAGACAGTTACTTTAATTATATAAAAGATGACAGCTGAAGAATAGCGATTTCAATGTGTCAAGCCTTGGGGACTTCGAAAGAATAACCAAACCAAAAAAAAAAAAAAAAAAAAAAAAAAAAAATACTTAATTAAAACGCAAGAGGATTTACCGCTTGTTTGGAGTGTAGTTACATGTCGTTTCGTAATATTGTCTTGTATTGTACTATATTGTATTTCATTGTTTGCTAAATATAATATTTGGATAGATTGTATCGGTTGCCGTCGTTTCATGATGTCACACACCAATAATATGAAGAATAAACTTGCAGTATTACTAAGAAAAAATAGGATACGAAGTAAAATTATTATATAAAAGAGTAAGGGAAAGGATAAACTATGATTATTTAATAATAAGAAAGGACAATATGGGAGAAAAAAGCAAAGTAACAACGCCATTACACCAAATTCGTTGTTCCATAAAATGGCACTTTTCATCGTTACGTAACAATGAATTTAACAATACGTAATAAAATTTAAGTAGCAATCAATACCAATATTGTATTTAAAATAACAATACGATACAATACAATAGGTAAACTTTTCATCGTTACGTAACAATGAATTTAACGATACGATATAATAAAATTTAAGTAACAATTACTACAAACATTATATTTAAAGTAACAATACGATACAATACAATCGGTGACAACCATCCAAACAAGATGTATAGACATTGTCCTTTAAATGACAAAAAGTTAACTTTCCTTTTTTCTTTTTTTTTTTAATTCGGAAACTATTTATGCAATTACATTCAGCTTCACATGTTTGACAATGTAATGTATCGAGCTGGAATAATTACTAAAAATCATCATGGACTTAAGATCACTTAAATCCTATCATATAAATTAATTATTGTATAATTAAAAAACAAATCCAATTGAAGAACCAATTATGGAACTTAATTTCTTTCATATTCTCCATAATAATAATAATAATAATAATCTCCATGCTTTCAGTCAATGAACCAAATGAGCCAACATCGTCATGGCCTGCGATTGACCTGAAATTATTCCTGTAGTTAAAGGGTTTTGTCCCAAAACTATACAATAACCATCATCATAATTCTCCATTCCTTGTGCCATAAGTTGCCATACTAAACTTCCTGCCATTGTTCCTCCTTCTTTTGCCAAATTGTAGACATTTCTATAAACATTACTCATGAATGTGTCTCTTGAACTAAGATTGTATCCTTGACCTCTACTAGACTTTCCAAATTCAGCTAGCACTAGAGGTTTCTTTAGTATGGTTCTTGCATCTTGCCAATGGCTTGTAATCCACCTTTCCATCCATGCCAATTGTGCCTCATCGCTCTATCCCGATACCCTGTAAATGTAAAAATATTTTATTCACCAACAGCGTAATAAGTTTTTACACAAGTAGGTCACTTATAAGGTAATTATATAGGTAAATTTCTATAACTAGCTTTGATAACCTAATTATCTGAAAATTTCCATCTCTTTATCTTCTATTTATTTTCTACAACTCACAAATATTCTGTTCTTGTGGGAAATTCGAGTTAATTGTTGAAACTCAAATTTTAGAGGTTCTGTAAAATTCTGGAGGAATTCTCTATTATCCTTGCAGCAACAAAGTGGGAAGCTTAAATTCCTTACTGAAAAAAGGAATCATCGTCACTATTGATCTGAGCCCTTGCATTTCGCGCCCACTGAACATATTGAGCTTTCCCTCCAAAGTCATTCCAGTTATTTACAAAGCTCAAGATTAAGCGAACACCATATTTTTAGCTTTTGATATCACAAAATCCAAACCCTAAATCCAGAAAATACACAATAATAATTAATAACCCTAAACTAGAAACAATTACAAAAAGTATCTAATTAACTAATGACACATTTCATATTGCTTTCATAATTAAACCACATTTAATAATGGAATTTAGGTTATATACATAACACGATGCAACCGACTTTTACATTATCATAACCTAACTAGTTAATAATAAATTATTACTCGATATATCGTCCAGGTTACCATATCAGACAATATATATAAAACTACATGTTGTATGTTAACTTAACTTGGTAATGTAAAATTTATTTATGTGGTCGTTGCACAAAGGCAAAATACATAAGTAGCCACCCGAACTATACACCAAATCCCTGTTACACACTTTCTGAGGATTAATATCACTTTACACAAGCAACCTTTCAAAATTGTATCTAGTACACACCACTTTTACTACGTGGCACGCGCGTGCTTAACAAAAAGATTGAGCGCGTAAAATTTGAAAAATATTTTGTCTAATTCCGTATTTAGTGCCACGTGTCAAAGTAATAACATTTTTCTTATTTTTCCTTTTTATCAAATGAAAATATGCCATCTTCCCAAAACTACCAGGTCCTCCTCCCCAACCCCCCCTCCCCAAACCCACCCCTTTCCTCACTTGTCTTCCCCAAATTTTCCTTTGTGTCGTCTCTTCCCCTTGTAGCTTAAAAAAATCCATCAAAACTCATGATAAAGAATTCAAAGAATAGCAGAAATTAAACCTCCCATTTCGTCTCTTACCCTTCCAAAATTGTCTTACTTCTTTTTCTACCATTAAAATTTACCAAAACATTCAATTTTTACATAGATAAAAAGGAATAGTTTTTTGCTTTCATGAGAATGAATAAAATTATAAGAGAAGATTGAAGATTTTTTCACAATGAAATTCTTTAATTCATGGAAATGAGAAATTAAATTTGCTTTGCTTTGTTTGGTCGTGGTATGAGATCTAAAAATGGAGGAGGAAAATGGAGGAAGGAGAAGCTGCAATTTCAATTTTCATCTCTTTCATTCTCGGATCTGAAAATATTATTGCATTGATAATGATGATGGCATTCTTAGCTTCGTTTGTTGCGCTTGATTTTGCTCCTCTTCTGAGCTCCATGTATTATTCTCGATAGATGGTAGATGATATTGCTCTCCTCTTCTGAGCTACATGACCGAGGAGGAAGCTGATGGAAAGAGGAAGCTGATATTGCTCGCGAAATAGAAGGATTTCAAAAGCTGAATCCGCGTCAAAGGCTGTGCTCTGTGCGAAGGCAGGCGCGGATTCCAGCTTCTCCCATCCGAAGTTGGATTAAAAAATTTCGCCCCTCATCAATCCTAAGTGATATAAATACATCCTAAAACACAAATTTGAGAGGAGGAGACACTACTTTTGGGTTACACAACACCTATGGAGGCAAGAAAACACTAGGAGCACGGAGGAATTCAACCACGCGTTTTTCCTTTCTTATTCCTGTTTTCTATTGTTGATTATGAATTTTAGTATTGTATTTTCACCTACTACTATGAGTAGCTAGTTTATTATTTAGAGTTTTGATGAAACCTTTTGGAGGATGAATTCTTGTTAAGTTTGAATATAATTTAGCCTTTGAATTTCTTTACTTGTTCAACTACGTGCTTATTTTTGTTGATTGAATGACCATCAATTCACTGTGCCTATTTATTATGTATTGCTTGGGAAAGGATACATATTTAGGTAGTTGTTGAACAACATCACTCTTAACGTATATGAGGAATTAATACGACAGGTTTAAAGGTGAGTTTAGGAATTACAAAGCCTTGACGTGTTCATAGTGAGTGGTAAGATTGTACCAGCTAGCATAGTTCGGGAGAATATATTTAGTAAATTATTGTAGTTGCTCGAAAGAAAATTATGACACTGAACTACTCACGATCAGTAGAGAATAATTAGGCGAAACTATAGGAGGCGTAGCGGGAAGGATTCCGCCAATTGGGGAAATCATAACTCTAGACCTCCTTAATCTTGTCTCCAGCTCTTAGTATTTTTAGTTGTTAAGTTTTTACTTCAATTTGTTAGTTAATTAGTTAGACAAAAGAATTTTCATATTTATAACTTAGAAATTGTTCGAACTTGTCTTCTTGGTGATAGTGAACAGTTGTCGCTAAACCTTAGTTCTCTTTGGGATTCGACTCCAGAATTTTAGACCAGATTATATTTGCAGCGATCGCTTATCCTTTTTACGACTAGAGTTGGGCGTGATCAAGCAATAGTCAAGTTGTCTCTGTGTGATCTATAGGGCACAGATTCGAGCTGTAGAATCAGGGTAGGTTGTCTATATAACACCCCACTGGGGTGCGGTCCTTCATCAAATCCTACATAAAAACGAGATACTTTGTACATCGAGCTGCCTTTTCAGAACTTGGAAGTTCTTGTTTTTAGCCCATCCTAGTAGGTTTTATTTTGATATTCTTCTCTTCCATTTTTGCTTCTATGAAAGCAGCACTTTCACCTATATGAAAATATTGAAACTAAATTGGTATGTTACATTAAATCAATAATTTCATGACACGTGTTTACATGTTTTAACTCTTACTTGATCATGGGTATTAATTAATGTATATTCTCACCTCCTTAAATTATTTAATCATGGCAAACTAATGTGGAAGTTTTTACTATGCAGTAACTAATATTTATATCCATTTCCATCATTTGCACTTTCCTTCTCATTTTTGATTGGCATATTAAAGGGAAGTTCAATTGCAATTAAATTTGTCATATTAAATCCCATATTTTGAAATGATGCAGTCTAATTATAGTATATGCTAGATTTTCCCTTGATGACTAAAAGAGCGTAATAACCTATTAACTAGTGAAACATAACTTCGTGTCCTTATTCAGGAGTGTTGGATTATATTACGCAATGGAAGCAATTCCATA